AAAAGCAATTTAGATTAACTTTCACTTAAAAATATAATGCCACACAAAGGCATTATTTCCACAGCTTAAACATTCTGCCTCTTGCCTGCCCATAATCACATCATTTCAGCTTTATATTCAAAAGCATATACATTTTTAACTGGAAATAAATCCCACTAGTTTCAACAGGATTTAAGTTTTGGAACTGAAGTGATATATCTCCAAGAGTTTTCTTTCTACGAAGTTTCAATTTGTGCGTGACATTTGCCAAAGACAGGAAAGCAAGCAGTGTTAAGAATATAAGGCTGCTTGCTTTGCTGTCTAGAATATAAAGTATATTCTAGAATTTAAAAAATGAAATAATTCCAACCCCTTTCAAAATCACCGGAGATGTAAGTCCTAATTTATTGTATAAAAATAGTTCAATAAAAATTGGAAAATGCAGTTTTAGAATAACTACTCAAGACGAGGAAGGCTGCACGAGTTTGAGAGAATCCAGAAAGTTTTATGGAAATTTATATGAGTTGGATGTTCTTTGGACCACATGAGGTTGGATACATACAGTAGAGTGGTTTTTCAGTTTTAAGTCAGAAAGAAAATATTAGTCAGTACAAAATATATATTTGTATTTGATTAATCCTACTTCCTTTATTTGCTAATTTATGCTTTATTTTGGAATGACAAAACAAAATTTTTATTCAGGATGGGAGATGAGAGAGATACAGTAGCAAAAACTGTTATGATACAACAGAAGAACAAATATAGTATATTTTTTTAAAAAAAAATGAAACACTGATAAGAACAATAATAAAAGACAATTTGTCACTCCCAACAATGCAAATAAAAGATCTAGGGCACCAAAAAAAGAGAAAGAAAAGAAAAAATAGAATAGAATAGAATAGAATAGAATAGAATAGAATAGAATAGAAAGAATAGAATAGAATAGAATAGAATAGAATAGAATAGAATAGAATAGAATTTTATTGGCCAAGTGTGATTGGACACACAAGGAATTTGTCTTGGTGCATATGTTCTCAGTGTACATAAAATAAAAGATAAAACACTTCACTAATAGTGACTATGAAAGTCTAGAATTTGATTTGCTGGCTTCCCCACATTTTTGTTCAGAACAGAAATATGTAGAACAGGTGAAGAACCTGATATCCCTTATCTTCCTCTTAAATTATTTCCCAATGAATCAAGATATATTTTTTTTAAATCACATTGTTCTCCTAAAGAAAACTTTATAGCATTTGTCAAAAAAAAAAATCCTACACTTTTCATTCATTCAACTACTGAAGACAGTCATTCCAATTGCAATAGCTTGTGCAATAAAAAGACGCATTATTAAAAAATCTATGAATTTATTGGACATTATCTGACAGAAGCTAAAGCAGTTTATTTTTTTATCAAACATAGTTTACAGTTCCAACTATGAATTAATGGAGCTGTTATCGAGATGTTGCAGAACAAAGAAATACTCTCCAGGGCATCCTGTGTTGTGATTTTTCTTTTAAATAATAATATATAGAAAAGGAAACCCCCTTTCTTATTCTTCTAAGACAGAAAAATTACATAAATCTTGCAATACCTAGTCTATCAGCAACAGACATAAACTCAAAACTAGCAGCACAGAATGCAGCCTGCTGGTTAATGCATAAACTGTATCAGTCCGATGCTCAGCAGGCCTATTCCAATGAGAAACCAGCCTGCAGGCTCTATTATCTAAGTGTTGCAATGCAGTCATTTTGGGAAATATCCTCTCCAACAAGACATAAAACGTATTTAGATAAGTAAAATTAAATACTTTCTAATTGATGAGCTTCCAGTTTCCTGTACTATAATCAACATTCACAAGACTTTGAGATATATTTCCTTCTGCAATGTTTTCTGCAGAAGGAAAAAAGGGAAGAAGGTATTCATGGTAAGTAACGGAAAAGAACTGAAATAAATCAGAGACTCAGTGAAAGAGAGGAATAACATTCATTCTCTCCAAGCTGCCTGACACTTTAGCCTCATAAAATAATCTGATCTTGTTCAGCTTTCCGACTTCATTGAGAACTCAGCAGCCCATCTGTAAGCAGAGGCAAGTTCAGTACAGTATTGTAGTAATGGAGAGTGACGTCAAGAGGCAAGCCTAGGAACCTCCTCCCACTTCTAGTTACAAGCAAAGCATGTGACAGCAGTCAAGGCTGGAGCCTTCGCTGCAGTTTCGTCAGAGGTTAAAGTACAAGTGCAAACCACAATTACAACTTCAATCATTTCCAAAGCAATCACATGCCACTCCAATTTCAGACTTTAGCCTTGTGCACACGCAAGGGAAGAGAAAAAGTAATCCAGAGATTAACAACACCTTCTAATAATGCACCAAAAGCACACATTAACCTACCAGAAGTGTTTTGGGGATGTACCTTCTAAATTACATATTTGTACTGATGCTACTTAGGTACAAATAGCTGTTTATTACACCAGAGCTTGTGAAAATAGTCTTTGTACATGGTTCAGATTTTCAGGAAATGCTCACTCACTTGGTTTTTTCATATCCAACATGCAAAAAATACAGATTCCAGTACCTCCATTTACATTTGCAAATTTAGAATATACAAGACCAGATCTCAGGGTTTTGTTTTATCATTATACAAAAAGTTCCACTTTTAACTTTACCAACTATATTACTAGCTGCAGAATGTCAGATCTTTCATCTGTAAGAACACAACCAGAGGGTTTTGTACAAATCTCTTAACTTTTCTGCCTGAGGGTTTTGTTGCTGGCATTTTCTGACAGCAAACACATCTTTATATTGATCCATGAGAGTTCCCTAGTTCTTTATCTGGCATCACCTAAATAACCCCTTGCAAAGTAAAAATCCCTATGTACAAAATATTCCATTCCTTTTTCTCCAATCCAGATGTCACCATTTTGTATCTAATTCTGTGAAAAGTTCATCCACGCCCTCCCCCTCCCAGCCAACACTGGAGAGCTCCAGTACTGGCCCTGGAACAGAAGTGTTCAGACTACAGACTACCAGCTTGGAGCTGGTCCAGCCTGGTTCTGTCTCCCAGATAAACACAAACATGTTTTGGATGAATTGGTGTGACTGAGACAAAGCTGTTCCTACTTGTCCAGGACCAAACCAGAGAAAATTTTCTACAGCTTTCTTCTAATCAATTAAATGAAGAAACTTGAGAGAGGGCAGGAGGAAAGAAGGAATACTATTATATACCACTCCCCAAATTAAGGCCATTTCTACTTATGGAGAAACCTGGAAGACAAGGGAGGCATGGAATTGTAACATAGAAAACTCTGCAACAGCTCAGGGCTTGAGCTATGTGTGATGGTCTTGAAGCATTCGCTCTAGAGCTCTTCTGCTTCTCCTCATGGAAAGGAATGCAGCCTGCTGCCCTTCCAGCAGGAACCCGCTCGTGATCAGCAAGGGCTGCCAAAAAAAGCCTTAATCTGATTTTGACATGCAACTCGGTCCAAAAGGGGCAGCAATCTGCAAAATTGCTTATTTGAAGCAACTAAGATTACCACCATCACCCTCACCCTCAAGCTGCGGGTATATAATCAGCAATGACTCACACATACAACCCTAAGACATTAAGTGCTCCCACCAGCAAATCCTTAAGAGAAAATGGAAGAGGGAGGGGGTCAGCATCCATTTATCCTTGTTTTCCCACAGTCAACCTGAATCGCTGCCAATCTTGCTTCCCTACGATAAAAGAAAAAGCAACAGCAAGCCCAAAGGAAGGGAGAGGGGAGTAAATAAACATTGTACCCTGCTCTTTTCATTTCCCATGGATAGCATCCTCAGCCTCTCCCATTCCTATTATAAACTATTCCATCCATAGTTTATAATTCTGGGGGAGGATGGGGGAACCGAACGGCGTTCAGGTTTGTGGGGAAGGTAAGGTTAAAAGGAACAGCTCTGCAGCACTGCAAAAGCCAAGACTCGTTATCTGGGACACCAGCAGAGTGATCCACTCGTCCACGTGTGAGTGGTGCTGAAAACTGCTAGGATGGGTTTCCAGAGCAATATGGATAGGAAGAGGGGTGCGCAGAGCCATCCTCAACTTAAGTCTCTCCAAAAGAACGCTCTTGCTCCTTCTTTTCCGCCGGATCCTATCTAATCTGCAGCGAGCAAAGGACCAGCAATCTTCCGCGGGGTGGGGGTGGGGGTTTGGCAACATACAACCTCCCTCCCTACTTTCGTCCATTCCGCCTGCCGTTTCAAGGAATCCGGGCACCCGAAGGGGCCGCGTTCCTGGCTCTCCAGCCCTGGATGCATTGGAATGTGTCAGACCGCCGGGCAACTAGCGAGCTCTCCATTTTCCTCTCCCCATGCCCGAGAGAGGAAAAGATCCGCTACGGAAAAATCAAAAGTCCTTACGCTTACGCACGCAGACACATATACACACAACGCACATTTCGCGCTCTCTAAGGGGATCACTCCTGCCTCGCAGATCTAAATCTGCACCGTTAGCCCTTTAAAAAAAAAAAGAAAAAGGCATGGCTGTTCTCGGGATCTTCTGCACCAGACTTCTAAGTTGCGTCTGAATGCAACCACACACCCCTCATTCCCGGCACCCCGGATTCTCTGCAGAGTAAATGCGGGCATGCGGCGTCTTTAATGCCCGAAAGTCGAGTGCATGTCAGATCAAGGACCCGCTGCGTAAAACATCCCAGCTGAAGCATGACAGATCGGAATCCCCCAGCCCCAAATTTCACGGTGCACGGATTTTTTTTTAATCCCCGCCCGTTCTTGACAGATCGCAGAGCTGGGGTCCCGAATGACTCATGGGTTCCGAAGTCCCTGTAGCCGAGATGTACCGGTCGGTGCACTGGGGATCGGAACACTCTGAACCCCACAAGCTTAGCACCCCGTCGCTCCAGGCTCTCCCCTCCTGGCGACTCCACGGTCCATTTAGAATCCCAGCGACTGTTCCGAACGTGCCGGCCGGCGGGGGTGGGGGGTGCGAGAGTCCCCCCCACGAGACTAAGCCGGCGCTCCGAAGCCCTACCTGGCTGTCGGAGAGATAGTTGAAGACGAAGGAGGAAAGCTCTTCATCCAAAAGCGCGCTGCAGTCCGGCTCCGGTTCCGCCATCTTCCTGCTCCTCCGGCAACGGCACGAAACAGCATGCGGCAACGGCAAAAGCAAGCACAGTCAGAAACCAGCCAAACCGGGCAGCCGGCGGGGCGAGGCGGAGCCTGGAGCCCGCCGGTTGGAAATGGGCGGTGTCGGTGTCAGAGGAGGAGGAGGAGCCCGCAGGCGGGAGGCTCGTCTGGGCTGGGCTTAGCGGGAGCTGTAGGGCAAAGCAGCGGCGGCGACCAGAGCTGCTTCTTTCGCGCGCTTTGGGCGTCCGGAGCTCCCCCTCCTTGGGAAGAGGACTTGCGGCCTTGCTCCGCGCGGGTTTCGAAGAAGGAAGGAAGGAAGAAAGAAAGAAAGAAAGCGCAGGAGGCGAGCGCGTGCCCCCCCCCCGGGGTCGCCCCAAATGGTTTTTTTTTGGGGGGGGGGGTCTCTGATATCTGTCCGCTCCCTCGAAGAGGTAGTAGAGATTCCCCCTCCCCGCCTCCTCAAAAGGGAAGAGGAGCCGGAGCAAGTAAACCAGTCCGGCAATTCCACTTCCTGACCCGGCGCTTATCGGAAAGCGGGAGGAGGAAGCAAAATGCGCACATGCCTCGAAGTCCTGGGCGGCTCTTGCGCCGGTCCGAATTCCGGCTCTTATCGCTGCATAAGTTGGGGAGAAAGGGTGGGGGGAGAGAGAGGGAGATACTCGGGAAGAGCAACAGCCCTCTTTCATTCCTGGGGACTTCCCTGGCGGCGTGCCTCAAGAGACATTCCCGTTTTTCTCCTGAAGAAGAAGCAATATTAGTTTTCCACACGATGGGATTTATTCCTGAGGCTTTAGCAACTCAGCTATTTTTCTGTCTGAGAATTACCCTGGGTCACAGCCCCAGCGGAATTTAATAGAATACGCATGAGGACTGAAGCAAGCAAAGAGATAAATTTCATTGAAAGAGATTGCCTCAATAAGATCATGAAGTTCAGAGACTTGAAATTACCTAACTCTCTCACTGTTTCCCTTAAGTAATTCCGTCTGGCGCGGTCTTTGTAACGTTTTCAAACCTTCACCTAACTTTCTCAATTCTTATCCCGGGTTACTTGTCAAAATGAGGCAATAATCTTCACTCTTAGACGTTGGAGTAAAAATCTATTCAGAGTGCTCCCATTTTCACTCAGCCGCAAAATAAACATCTGTTATGCTGAGAAAGTCAAAAGCATCAAGTGTCATAATTAAGCCAGTTAACAGATGCTGCTCTTCATGTCCCTCACAATATAAAGAGAACCTGTTGTAAATATTGTTCACACAGATGATGGGAAAGTGAATTGTGCAGGTAATGTTTCTATACAGTATGCACTCTCCTGCTCCCTGAATACAATGCCTTTCCCCCAGTAACTGAATTTCAGAGTCCTGCTGAGCTGACATATTGTGGTTCTTAGGCATGGAATGTGATCAGCAACTCTTCTCAATCAATATATTAGATGAGAACAAGAAAAAGGGAGACAGCACTAAAAGAGAAAAATCTATTCGTACCTGCTACTTTGGAACCACAAGTATGGGTGAGAGGGAGGGAGGAAAAGGAAGGAAGGAAGGAAGGGCCACATAATCCCCAAATGATATGTAAATATTGTAGCCTCTGGTGAAAGCATGTATGAAGCAGTATTTGGGATGCTGTGCTCATGAAATTCCTGGTTCAATTAATAGGAGTGTATCTGAAGTAAGTGTGTATTTATTTATTTATTTATTTTATTTTATTTATTTATTTATTTAATCATTTTATTTAACTCAAGGCAGCCTACAAAATACTCTCTTATTTTCCTCACAACCACAACCCTGTGAGGGCCCTTGGGCTGAGAGTGAGTGAGCAATCCTCACATAGAGCCTCGGTGGTGCAGTGGACTAAAGTGCTGTTAAGTGCTAGCACTTAGCTGCCAGCTGCCTGCAATTAGTGCAAGTTCGAATCACACCAGGGTCAAGGTTGACTCAGCCTTCCATCCTTTTGAGGTAAGTAAATTGAGGACCCGGATTGTGGGGGCAATAAGCCAACTTTGTATAGAACAACAACACTTGGGGGGGGGCCCAAAAGCCCTAATAAGCAAGTATATACAAAAAGTATGCAGGCTATTGCTATAATGCGTTGTAAACTGCCCTGAGTCTACGGAGAAGGGCGGCATATAAATTGGACTAATAAATAATAATAAATAAATAAATAAATCCAGATGGCTTCCTTGCCTAAGGGTGGTCTACAACTCATGATATAATGATGTATAGAACCTTGGAATGTTTAGTAGACATGTTCCATGTCATGCCATATGCAACAGTTCAGGGCAGAGCCAGTCTTTTTATTATTATTACGGTTCATCGCCCAGGCAGCCAGATATTCAGACTGGTTTTGGCAATTTTCTCTACCTATTGAGTCCTTGCCAAGTACTTGGGATAGACAAATGTCAGTGTTTGATGGTGTTGGGAATATTGTTACAGGGTGTACACTGTTCTGAGTAAACTTGCCCTTTGCAGTAACTGATGATGAATTTGTCAATGCCGATGGTGTTCAAGTGGTGCTCCAATTGTTTTGGGATTGTGCTCAAGCTGCCTATTACTATTGGTACTATCTTGACTTGCTTTTGCCACAGTCCTTCTATTTATAGGTCTTTGTATTTTGTTAACTTTTCCAGTTCTTTCTCTTGTGTTCTGCTGTCTCCAAGTACTACCACATTCACAATCCAAACTTTTTTTTACCTTTTTTATCAACAATTGTTAAGTAATTACATTTTTTGTGCACATTATGTGGCTTAATCATTGTTACTGTTATTGTATTCATCTTGAGTAAAAAACAAGATGACATCTCCTCTGTATGCCACATGGAAGTTACAGCTGAACTAACCATTGCCTCTTTGCAGCAGTTGGACCAGCAAGATAAGGTGGCATAAACTTACTTACTTTCTTTCTTTCTTTCTTTCTTTCTTTCTTTCTTTCTTTCTTTCTTTCTTTCTTTCTTTCTTTCTTTCTTTCTTTCTTTCTTCAGTATGCAAAATCTACCACCTGACATCTGACACAATCTCCTCATTTCATATAATGGAAGAACTAGCCCTTAGCCAAAGTGAGGACTGGTTCTAGAAAGGGAACTGTTTTAAGTTGAGTAATGGCACTATATTTCCTGTACTGTCTACTGCTCAGTCATCCACTCATAGCACAGTTTCCCCATCCTTTGTCCCCCAAGCAATCAAGTTTGATCAACTGTTCTCTTTTTAGAAATGTTCAACCTTGCTTCTGGGCCAACCATTTAGATATAGTAGTTCAAGAAATCTTGTCTTACATTTTTTTAATCATGTGCACAAAAAAGAAGTAATTATTACAGTAAAAAAAACAAATGTACATTGCTGCTTTCTTCTACATAAAAGCATTCATTTGGATTAAAATGTAAAATACTTACATTTATTGCAAATATTACATTTTGTTATAGCCTCTCCTCTCCCCTTTTGTGCTTTGCTACTCTCCTTATTTGGTTTTTCATATTTACTTCTACCATTGCCTGGAAGCTAATTATACAGTGCTTTCATAAGATATTTAGTGCTGTTAGGGCACAATCAGAATTTTGGCTTCTGGCTTAATTTTGCACCGTCTCTCCCTCCCACAGATACTCACACAAGGAACACTTCACTTTGCATGTATTACCTCTAAGGGACAGATGATTGCACATATACCTCTTCCTATTGATTGTTCTTTAAAGTTTTTCAAGACATCTCTTTGATTTCTGTGTTTCTCGTCATTGAATAGAACTATAAATAAAACGTAGACCCATAAACATAGACAGAGCTGGTCCTTCTGAAGAGATCACATTCTCTAGCTGTTGGTATACAGCCAGAAGCTCAAATCTTGTTGCTTGTTAGCATATAAAAGCACACCGTAATCATACTTTCTTGTATGTGTGGAGTGCTGTGCCAACAACTGCAGGAAAAATGGCTGTTGAATATTCTGTAAAGCTGAATAGAGGGTATGCAGAACTAAACTGAAGCTGCAAAGAACAAGGCTTTCACCAACTAGTAGCTGTCTGTCTGTAGACAATCCTTTCATCTTTCAGACTCAGTTCTCGTGTTTTAATCCATGTAAAGTACTAAAGTTTTTTTCCCCTAAAGGAGTTAATGGCTGGAATGAAATCATCTTTAATTTGTAGGAATTAAACCACCTTTAATTCGTATTCATTTGTTTATCCCAAGCAAATAAAATTAAGTCAGCATTGACAATGTAAGCTCCTTAATAATTTAATTTGTCAATATACAACTGTCCTGAACAATAGCCGATGTAAGCAACTGAAGCTAGATTACCTTCTCACCAAGATACTTATCAGACAATATGATACTGATGTACATAAAGGATTATATTATTAAAAAAGATATACTTCTTTGTACTGTGCTTGAAGTTCTTTACCAACATGTTTTATAGTCCTAGTACAATAGTATTCTTTATCACTAGCCATTTTAAGACTGTCTATGGTTGTCCCTTTGAAGTTTTATCGACTCAATTTTCACTCTTTAGCAATATTTTAACTGACATGTGGTGCCTATAAAGTAACACAGTAATCATAGGACCTTAAGGGTTCTGTAATTCTACTTCTGTATGCCATGGTGAACATATATATTAAGGCTGTAGGCCTAACCCGCATCATTCATCCTATGAACACTGAATAAAAGTGTATGAAGATAGATAGATACCCAAGTTTTAAAACAAGCATATTAAAACAACTCAGAATTTAATTTTTAAAAAGTTTTCACAATAAACAAAAATATGTCCATCTACTATTTAATGTTTTATGGCCCTTTTTACTCAATGAATTCAGGACAGGTAATAGAATTTCAGATAATCTTCAATTCCGGACATATCCATGGAACCAGTTTTTTCAAGCTGACTAACTTTACTAAACCAAGATTAGTACTATCATAGTTTCTCTGCTTTCTCTCTGCTATTGCAAGATATATCGGCTATTATCAGTTCAATCTCCTGACAAGCTACAGTCAACTTCAGCTTCCAATTCTTCAGTGAGACTAAAGTAGTTCTCACTAAATTATATGATCACTGGAAAAAGAACGAGGCACTTTCTAAAATACCTATGATACCTTTTTAAATTGCTCTTCATCGTATATTATTTGTTGAATAGGCAAAGTGCTGATATGATTTCACAAGGAAGAAATTGAGTTAATTTGGCCCATAGCGAGTTAGTCTGGGAGATCACCTAGTTATTGCTTTAATGGAGCTTTGCAAATTATTAGGGATTTTTTTTTTTTTTTTTTGGCTAGGTACTGCCCAGTGTGGATGGATTAAGGGAATGTATAAATATTTTTAAATGAATCATCAGCAGCAGCATATCCTGATCTTTTTTGACTTTTAGATGACGTGTTTACTGTGCAATCACCATGCTGTATTCTTGC